AAATATGAATAACTTATGCTACGAGAATCAACATGAATTAATTTCAAAAGTACAATATTGAGAGAGAAAGAGCAAGTGGCAGATGGATAATGTACACGGTAATGTTTATATAATATTTTCAACATTCAAAACAATGTTATATACTATTTACGAATATATTCACACAGCAGTGGAGAGACTAAAACATAAAAATAAAAACAGATAAGAGAATAAAACCACACAATGGAGGGAAATCTGCAAAGACAGGAGAGCAGTAACCACTGAAGTCGAAAGAGAAGAATAAGATTAGGGGAGCCCTTCATTTGAATCTTCTAATATTTTACTTTTCAAGTTGGAAGGTGAGACAGTCTTTGTGATGTCTGTCTATCTTTAAATATCTACCTACTACATACTGTATTTTTTAGGAAAACATCTAAATTCAGTGCTTTCCCAATGAAAATAGAAGGCACACAAATTCCCCCTCTGAAGAAGGACACTGTAACAAAGTCTCATCCCTGAGCAAGGTGGTAGCTACAGTAATCAAGAGAGAACCCCCAAGAACAAGTAACATCTTGAGAGGAACAGTCAGCCTTTCTTCCTTCCCCTTCCTATCCCTGGATGCCTGGAGACTCTCTTTCTTCAGCATCCCTCCCAGAAGAGGGCAGAGCACGAGCAGAACTAGTAGCATTCTAACGGGGGAGGTGCTTGCTATCTCCATTTCTCTGGCTAACTCTGGTGGCCCTCTAGAATTCCCACCCCTCCCGATTAACAATGCAGTTCCCCTTTCCACTGATGGGAAGGTCAACCCATCAGGCAATCTGGAGTTGCTTGGCGTAAAAGGAACACTTCCCCCACAAGAACTAGCTCCCTCTCTTTTGCTTCAGTATCATTGTCATTCGGCCAGCCCACTAAGATTAGAAACTCAAGAGCATCTTGCCTGTTGCTTTTTTTTTCATCATCTTGATTGCTGCTTTTTTTCATCATCATCATCATTATTATAATTTCCTTCCTTCCTTCCTTCCTTCCTTCCTTCCTTCCTTCCTTCCTTCCTTCCTTCCTTCCTTCCTTCCTTCCTTTTCTCTCTCTTTCTTTTTCTCTTTCTCCCCATCCCTTTCTCCCCATCTCTTTCTTTCTTTCTTTCTTTCTTTCTTTCTTTCTTTCTTTCTTTCTTTCTTTCTTTCTTTCTTTCTTTCTTTCCCTCCCTCCCTCCCTCCCTCCCTTCTTTCCCTCCCTCCCTCCCTTCTTTCCCTCCCTCCCTCCCTCCCTCCCTCCCTCCCTCCCTCCCTCCCTCCCTTCCTTTCTTTCTTTCTTTCTTTCTTTCTTTCTTTCTTTCTTTCTTTCTTTCTTTCTTTCTTTCTTTCTTTCTTTCTTTCTTTCTTGTTAATCCTCCCTGAAGGATATTTTTTCCATTGATTTTTAGAGAGGGTAGAAGGGAGGGAGGAGGAGGAGGAGAAGAGAGAGAAACACCGATGTGAGAGAGACATATTGATTGGTTGCCTCCTACATGTGCCCAGACAGGGCCTGGGATCAAACCTGCAACCCAGGTACATGCCCTTGACTGGGAATTGGACCCATGACCCTTCAGTGCATGAGCCAACAAGTAAGCCACATTGTCCAGGGCTAATTTTTATTCGTATGGAATATCTTCCTCATTCCTCTCTTCCATTTTCATCCCCAGCACCCATTTATTCATGCTCAGAGCATTAAAACCTATTTCCAAAGTGCTCTTTCTACATTCATTTTCCTAGTGCTATACAACCCACCTATATGGCATTCCTTGGATGATCTTTAAAGCACAGCTTTCCACAGGCTGTCCTGGGGTCAGGACCCTTTTGAAACTCCACCATGTGGAAGCTGAAGTCCAAATCCCTTTAAACTTCCACAAACTTTAACCTTATTCCAGCATCATCACCCAAAGCCCCCAGGATACCCTCCATAGAATACCCAATGTCCTTCCTTTCCAATCATACATAAAAACAGCCTATTCAGTTTCACTTCCTAATTTCTGCCCTTCACATTGCCTCCACTTCAATGTTTCCCAAACTTCAAGCCTTCTGGTACCTCTTCATGATATTTCCATTACCAAGTACCATCTAAACTATTTTTCATTTACTATTTTCTATAAAACCCACTCTCATTTTAGCTCAGATAAATCTTTTAATTGCAAATTTCTATCCATAACATAAATGAAAAAACCAGTATCTACTGAAATAAATAGTCTATAACTATAAAAACAAATGTCTTTTTAAAAAATGTGTTGTAATTAAATACATTTTGCCTTCTAAAATCACTGAGCCTGCTATTACTCTATTGTTGTTAAAAGGAGGGTGAACAAAATAAACTGACGAACACAACTGATCCAGAGACATGGTGTAGGGAAGAGATTGACAAACTGCAGAGGGAAGGAGGGGAACAGAGCGGGAAGAGATAAACCAAAGACTTATAGGCATAACCAATGGACACAGACAGTAGTGTGGTGAAGGCAGGAGGTGTGGGCGTGGGGAGGAGGAGGTCAATGGGGGAATAAAGGAGGGACATCTGTAATACTTTCAACAATGAAGATACTTTTTTTAAAAAAAGGAGGATTAAACAAGTGTTAAAGAATCTTAAAGTCATAACAACAACAACAGCAACAAAAAACTATGCCCTTGAAGAATTAAAAGTAATTTAATAACGTTGAGAACTTAGATGTAACTCAAAGTCATTAACTGTTATTGATACTGCCTAAAGTCATTTCATCTGTAAAAACTTGGGGAAGCACTGCTTTCGATGAGAAATTCTCTACATCTTTTCTGCTGATTTCAACTCTGCACACTCTTCCAGGCCTGGTCTAAGATCTACCACTTCTCAGAGCATCCTCACAGTTTTTATACATCATGACCCCCATTCATCAGGCATGCTGGGTATACATTCTTCCATGTTTTGGGAAGTCACTCCACTCTGCTGTTGAGTGACTCATACACAACTTTTCAAATTTGTTTTTTTCTGGTGTCCAATGATTACAGTTCAAGCAAAGATTTATGAAGGCTTCTTTTTAATCCCATGATACTGAGCATCATATCTTTTAAGGAGTGGGAATTAAACAACAGTGATACCTAATGGCATGAGTGATTGATGGATTAACACTTCCTCTCTCTATGTTTTTTTATAAGTACATATCTCCTCTAATGGACCAGACTCCCCTTAAGGACCATGCCTCAGTCACTCCTTAACCCCAAGTCCAGTGGAAGAACATTTTAGGATTGCTAAAAGTAATTGTTATATGAATAAGTGACATTTCCTAGAAAGAGTAGACCATTCAGGGCATTCAACAGAAAACCAGTGTTGCCCTTTAGATAGTATACTATATTTATCAAGTGCCTCTGCAGCTTGCCTTCTCCTTTGTTTTTCATTCAATGCTACCCTGGACTTGCTGACATAGCTCCTCTGAGAGTTTTCATTTAAATATATCACATGCAAAACTTTGCACACTCATCACAAATACTGGTTGCTGTCACCAAATACCATAGAGGGTACTTAGTTTTAGTAGACAGTTAGGCATATGAGTGGCTTTTCAAGTAAAGGTTTTCCAAAGGTCAATAATGACATGCTTAAATGTTTAAAATAAATAAAACACTAAATTGTCTTTTGTCCTCCAAATTAGCTAATACTTTTTGAGATAAGATGGTGTTTAACAGATCCTGTCCAATAGTCTTTATTATCTTGAAGACACAGACAAAAATAATCTGTTTATAAATAAGCTACAGGGAATATGAGAAAACTGCAATAAATAATACATTTGGTTGTATCTAAAGTTTTCAAGTAAGTTGTAACTAATAATTATGACTTCATAATTGCTATATCTGTATAGTACCCATGAAATCATATTAAAAATAACTATTATGAATTAGAGATAATTAAGATAAGGAAGGTATAAAAAGGATCACACAAAGGTCAAGACAACTTTAAGAATATATCAGAAACACATTATAATCACTACTAATTATTGTTATGTAAAAACTAGACATGGACATATGTGATCGAATATCAACCCTAAAAGTAGACCCACTGAAAATGGACGTGGACAATTTTTAAGTAGACAGGAACACCTTAATGAATGGGAGGCACCAGAATTTTCACAGCACTCTTTTTGTCTTCTTTTTAAAAATTGTAGTGAAAAATACATAACATAAAATTTACCATCTCAACCATTTATAAGTGTAGAGTTCAATAGCGTTAAGTATATTTATAATCTCCAAAGTGTTTTTAAATTGCAAAACTGAAACTACACCCATTAAACATTTTCTATTTTCTCCTCTCCCCCACTCACTGGCAACCATCATTCTACTTTGAGTTTCTATGAATTTGACTACTCTAGATAGCTCACATAGTCAAATCATATTGTTTCTCTTTAATCTGCTTTTAAAGTTCAATTGAAACTTAATGAGGAAGAAGCCAAGTTTATCTTCCATCAGTTATTGTCTAACCATCCACTTCGTACAATGCATTATGCTAATTCCACTTAGTAACCCAATGAAGCAGGTTTTATATCAACTTTACAAATGAGTAAACGGAGGCTCAACAGGTGAAACGCCTTGTCAAAGGTCGCTTAATTAAAGCAGTGGGGTTACTGAACCCAACTTTCTCTGACTTCAATGCCCACAGTCTTTACAACACACCTGGCTGTCTTTTGAAATATTTAAAATTTTCAGAGAATTTCAACCATCCATATATTTGAAGCATATCAAAGTGGTATGTTTTTACATTTGATTTTGAATGTTGCATGTCTTCCTCCTCTTTTTATAAATTATTTTACTTTATATCAGGTCTCAAGGTATTATTCTATTCCATGTGCCAAAGTTTATCCTAAGCCATGTCCCATAAACTCACACAACATCAATTACCTTCCCTTTTCCTTTCCAAGCAGGGCTTGAGAAGGAAAAAGCATTTAGTTTCTTTAATTGTGCTGGAAAAAACACAGTTTCTTATGTGTACTATATATCAATAGTAAAAGAATATTAAATTTGGAAAACAACACTTACAGTTGTAGGAATGAACCAAGCCTCTTCAGTTCAGGAACATTATGTTAGTGATGGAGGTCACTCTATGGAAACCAAGGGCTCTCTTCAAACGTGTCCTTCTCTGTGTGCGGCACCTGAACTGTAGCTTACAGAGCCACCTGGGACTAGAAGTCCTCCCACTGTGGCTCCAGGCTGCCCAACCAGAAACCCTAAAAGGCAGAAGAACTACAACACCCACAATTCACACTCCTCACCTGAAACCGGGAGAAGAGGGTGGATGGCTACAGTTTCACCCTAGGAAGAAAGAGTACACAGATGGAAACGCAAAGCAATAAGTAAATATATATATTGGGTGGGTATCTCTAAGTACAACTTATAAATATGGACCTATTCCTATAAAAGAAAACAGAAATAGACTGATGTTTGCCAAGAAGTAAGAAGGCGCCCTCAGTGTTGGCAAGAACTAAAGCATGTCATGCCAACAAATCCTCATGCAGCTGTGAAACCGGCCCCACCAGATTCTCCTTCAGTGATTCAGAGCTAAGGAGGCCTCCCAGCCCATGGAGCAGGTGAATGAGGGCTTCCCAGGTGAGGACTGAAGGTCTCCTGCGTCAGCACTGTTACTGTCCCTCAGAGGAGCTACAGACATAATGAAGACCTTTTACCTTCATCCTCCAAAATGCCCCTGATTATTAAAAATGTGAACAAAATAGAACTCTTGGTGACATTCCCTTCCATTTTCCTTTCCATTTCCTCATTTTGTGTTTTCCTTCTGTGTAATCCAGCATTATTTCTGATTGTTCAAAATTCAGGAACAAGAAATTTGGAGGCAAAAACAAATTTTAAAACTCCGGGGGCGGGGGGAGATAAAATTAAAGTTGCAATAATTGTTTCACTTCTTTGCAACATCAGGAACACAGAGTGTGTAAAACAAACAAAAACTAACAAAATCTTTCCTCCATTTCTTCGTACAGGATCTGTCTCAGCCTTTATTTTCTGTTATACACAGACCAGAAAATGGATACAGACAAGGTCTTGGCTTGGGCTGGGCCCAAAAATATAATGGGAGGATTCAGCTAAAGTAAGGAGATACCAGAACTTTCTCTGCTACCTATCTACGTGCCACCTCCCTCAGGAACACGGGGGCTTCCTGCTGCCCAACCTACTTGATCCACCCAGAGCTCTGGGAATGTTTGCCCTTGGGTCACCCCACAATCCAAACTGAACCATTCTATTTTCCGTTGTCACAGGTCCCTCAATCTCCTGACTAGAACCTAATGCTTCCTTATGTCACTGATATTCCTTTCAAAACAAATGGTTCCCTATTTCCACAAATCCTACAGATTTTGTTCTCCATGCTGTTTCTCCCCGAAATATTTTGCCCACCTTTAAATATTCAGATCTTTCCTTTCTTTCAAAGCTTAGTGAAAAAACAAACAAACAAACAAAACACTCTTCTCTAAGAAGCCCTCCTCTGTCTTCCTTAATCTGAATTACTCTCTCCCTCTTAATAAATTCCATATTTTACCTAGTCCTCTCATAACAGATCTCATACCTTGTTTCATTGTTGTATGTATATGTGTGTACACACAGGCAATGTTACCTTCCTATTTGAAGGCAAGGCCTTATTTTATTCCCATAGTCAGTAATTTACATGTAGATGTTTCTGATAAGCAATCAATGAATGAAATAACTGAGATATTAATTCTGAGCTGGATTTGAATACCTAATGCCATCTTTATCGCAGAGAACATTTGCACTTTAAAAACTCTACATACTGTTATCAGAATTCCCCTGTGGTGTCCTCTGGGGCAGCCTCCACAACCTTATTTGCATGTAGGTAAGGTACTGCATCTATCCACTCACCCCAGACAGCCCCGGAAATGAAGGCTCTCGTGGACCAGCGCTAACTGGTTCACCAGCTCTGCCTCCTGCTGTGCACTTCGCTTTCTAAGAGCTTCCCAATGACGCCCTCGGTACCATCACTGCATCTCGGAGAGCTGGCCTTGCCTCCATCTATGATTTTCTGATCATCGGCTCCAGCATTTCTGGTTTCCTTCCCCTTTAATCTAATCTGTCTCTGACGTAGAAACTCTGCCCTATGTGCTCCTTTAAATAGTTCTTAATCACTGATGTGATCACCTCTGCTTCTGTGGGATTCTCCGGGTCCTCGCACACTCAGCTCTGCCTTTTAGCTGTCAGCCACTTGGGAAGAAGAGAACCTTCTAGATACTGCTGACACACAATGAGATTTCTGTGGACCATCAGACTCAAAGACAGGCTGGGGTAGGCGACTGTTGTCTGGCAAGTCATCCCAGCCCTTTATTAGGGCATAAGGACAGCTGGCCCCTTACCCTGCCCGTGTGAGTATAAGCTCAGTGATCTACAATTGGGCCAGGATTTATCCTCAACAGAGTTCAGGGTGGCTTCCTTAAGAAAGTCTTCTTTGACCCCTTACCCTTTCCTTGCCCCTTACTTGTTTCTTGTACTGATTTATACAGTTGTCTGACTAGGTTGATGCACCCTGTTCATTTCTCCTGTGAAAGCATGATCATTTACAGCCATGAGAATAATTGTACCTAAATAATAACTAAAATATAAACATCGGTTATTTCCTGACAGGTAGGAAGAGGGTATGGAGAGCCGGCCCCATCTACCCCAGTACTTGGAAAGAAGAAAGCCAGGGGCTGAGTGGAGCTCTAAGGGGGCTTCATTAGAAACACACTATAGGTTCTGGAGTGAAATATATTGGGAGTAGGGCCTCTGTGTTCAGCAACACAGACTACACCATTGTATTCTTTGCCCGGCTGGGAGAGCTGATCAGGGACTAGTTCCACCCCAACCAGTGTGGGAATGTGAAGGGGCCATGCGGCCCAGTGGACCTGCAGATGTCAATGGTCAGGACGAAGAGCTACACTCTGCCTTCAAGGCTCCAGAAAAGTGGTAAGAATCACCCATCAGCGGAGGGCATGCTTGCACCATGTTCCAAAAAGGCCTGTTGGTCAAGCACCTGAATCAAACCAGATTCCTCCACAGCAGGTGACCAGCCAGGACCCAGATGGCATCATGTGGGCTCAGACCCCCTTCTTTTCCACGCACATAATGTTATGTCTATGCTCTTACCATACACTCAGGTACCATCTTGGAGAGAAACCAGATAAGGAGGAGAGGAACTGAAAGAATGAGAATTATAAAGGAGTCACCCAAAAACCATGTAAGGTAAAGGAGACTAACAGTTGTGAGTTTGAAATCTGCTTCATCCAAACTCACTCTAATGTTGACAATCAGCATGAAGCTGAAATGCCAGTGACTCGCTGTCAGGCCAGCCTGATAGATAAGGGAGAAGCAAAGCACTTAGAATGGCTAATCAGACACAGCTATCTGGGACCTGCAATTAGGAACTGGTGACACAAAGCAGCAGAGACAGAACAGAATCCACTGTCGCAGTGAACAGAGGCAGCTGTGCGAACCATACCCTCCTCTGACGTGCTGCCATGGCCAAGGAGAGCACAGCCCAAGGCTTTCGGGGATGGCCACACACACCGGCCAAGGAGAGCACAGCCCAAGGCTCTCGGGGATGGCCATACACACCGGCCAAGGAGAGCACAGCCCAAGGCTTTCGGGGATGGCCATACACACCGGCCAAGGAGAGCACAGCCCAAGGCTCTCGGGGATGGCCATACACACCAGCCAAGGAGAGCACAGCCCAAGGCTTTCGGGGATGGCCATACACACCGGCCATGGAGAGCACAGCCCAAGGCTCTTGGGGATGGCCACACACACCGGCAATGGAGAGCACAGCCCAAGGCTCTCGGGGATGGCCATACACACCGGCCAAGGAGAGCACAGCCCAAGGCTCTCGGGGATGGCCATACACACCGGCCAAGGAGAGCACAGCCCAAGGCTCTCGGGGATGGCCATACACACCGGCCAAGGAGAGCACAGCCCAAGGCTCTCGGGGATGGCCACACACACAGGCCAAGGAGAGCACAGCCCAAGGCTCTCGGGGATGGCCATACACACCGGCCAAGGAGAGCACAGCCCAAGGCTCTCGGGGATGGCCATACACACCAGCCAAGGAGAGCACAGCCCAAGGCTTTCGGGGATGGCCATACACACCAGCAATGGAGAGCACAGCCCAAGGCTTTTGGGGATGGCCACACACACCAGCCAAGGAGAGCACAGCCCAAGGCTTTTGGGGATGGCCACACACACCAGCCATAGAGAGCACAGCCCAAGGCTTTCGGGGATAGCCATACACACCGGCCATGGAGAGCACAGCCCAAGGCTTTCGGGGATGGCCACACACACCGGCCATGGAGAGCACAGCCCAAGGCTCTCGGGGATGACCATACACACCGGCCAAGGAGAGCACAGCCCAAGGCTCTTGGGGATGGCCATACAAACCGTGGTTTCTAGGCTTAGCAGAAACAGCTCATTTATCCAGCAGCACTACTGTATTTTTGCAGCTGCTCTGGCTTTAAGAACCTAGTGCCTGATTCTCCAGCCTTCCTAGCAACTGTGGAACTGGAGTTTGGTATGTTGTTCTTCAATTTATATTAACCAAAGTCTCTTACTATTTCCTGGAGTTAAAAACTCTGATACATCTAACGCAGCTCTTGCCTCATTGTAATGGGTATCACCTCAACCTCCCCCCTATTTTAGACACTATCCGATCGAGGACTGGATCTTATTTAATCTCTACACAAAAGCTCCACAGTACCTGGCCATGGCACATATTTGTTGATCTAAACTGGAATGACTAGTAAAATGAGGAAGTCTTGCATAAAGTTCCTTCTAGCGTAAAAATTCTCTGACCACACGGAAGCTCTCAGTTGCTTATTAATGCAGAGGTAATTTTTTTCTCTTAATGCCACAGCTGTGTTGAAAATTTAGACTTTACCCCCTATCTGCATCAAGCAGGGAGCAGAGCATGTGACTATTTGCACCCAAAAGGGAAATCAAACACACAAAAAGTGTTTTAAATATGCCCAGGGTATTAATAATCAAAAGGGGATTTTCCTGGTATCCTTCAATGACCTATGTTAAATATCACTCGTGTTCAGTCC